AATACTTTTAAACTAACAAACTGCATAACATGAAACATAACCAGAGGTATGGTAAAAATATTACACGAAATCAGCGTGACTTGAAAATAAAGAATTAGTAACAATTTTTAAAAATGTTGTTTAAATTGTCACATTTATTTCGTTAATATTTGCTTAAAAAAACACCATACCATTAGAGACAATTCTTTAAGAGATCGATAGGCTTTTTAAACAATAAATTTAAATTATTTCCAGTTACAACTCTACCTATCGCTCGTTTTATCAAAAGTCTCTTTAAAACATTAGGCATAACAGAACTAAATGCAAGTACACAAATGTGTAAATTTATTTAATAAAAATTCATCATTCATTTTTAGTTATAATTTTGAATATATTCAAGTATTATTAAAAAAGTAAATGCTTTTATAAAACAAATTAAAACACAAACTTTCAACTACAATATTAGTGATGCTGCGAGTATTTAATGCGAGAGAGGAGAAAAAAAACTAATAAACATTACAATTTATTAAAAAAAAAACTAAATGTTTTAAATTAAATAAAAACAATTGATAATTAATGTTAAAAGTGGTTTAGAGAAAGATTATAAAATTTGATTTATTTTGTTGTTATTTGGAGATTATAAGAAAAAAATTAGTATAATTTATATATAATTTTTTTTTGGATATTGTTTGGATTCAAATGCAAAAGTGTGTTAAAATATTTAAATGTTCATTATTTTGAGACAAAAATAAATTAAAACAAAAAAATGAAAATTAATATATTGAATATATGGAGAGCAAAGTTTAAAAGAGTTTGATTTTGTACAACATTTTTTGTTTAATATTGTTAATTGTAATTACCTTCTAAAAAGGTTGAAAAATCAAAGGAGTTTTTTTTTGGGGGGGAAAGGAAATTAAGAATTAGAAAAGAAAATTAGTTTAAAAATAGAATTATTTGTTTGTATTATTTTGTCTGTCTAAGTAATAAATAACAAAGTTTAAAAGAAAAAATAATTAAAAAAAATAAAAACCAAAATTAATTTTATTAAAACTAAATTTTTATAACAAAAGTAACTGAAATTAAATTTTCGTGTTTTTTTTTAATAAAAAATTTCTTTTGTTATTGTTGTTGTTGCTGTTGTTTTTGAAATTCCTTGTTTAATTTTTTAGTTTTCTGAATGACTATAATTCTTAAGTTATTTGTTGTTTTAATTGTTTGTTTTTTTCTTTTTAATTCACCAAATATAACATAATTTTTTAGTAAATATGTTTATTTTTGGTATGAATGTTACATTTTGAACTGGGTGTGTCAAAAGGTTTGATTTATTTATTATTAATTTATTTGTTTTTGTTGTGGTTGTTTATTTATTTTTTTAATTTATTAATAATTTTGAGTAGTTTTAGCTTATTATTAAACACTTTGTTTTTATGTTTAATTTAAATGGTAGTTTGGTAAGGATGACATTCTGTTTGGAGTTGAGTTGTTTTTGGTCTAAAACTAATGTGGGAAGAATTTTTATAAACTGTAACAATCTAATTTCAGATCTCTACAGATATTATCCAGTATCTAAATTTGGCTCTTGAAAACATCCTACAGTCTAGTCTATAGTCTAGTCTATAGTCTAGTCTATAGTCTAGTCTATAGTCTAGTCTATAGTCTAGTCTATAGTCTAGTCTATAGTCTAGTCTATAGTCTAGTCTATAGTCTAGTCTATAGTCTAGTCTATAGTCTAGTCTATAGTCTAGTCTATAGTCTAGTCTATAGTCTAGTCTATAGTCTAGTCTATAGTCTAGTCTATAGTCTAGTCTATAGTCTAGTCTATAGTCTAGTCTATAGTCTAGTCTATAGTTCTAGTCTATAGTTCTAGGTCTATAGTCTAGTAGTCTAGTCTAGTCTAGTCTATAGTTCTAGTCTATAGTCTTAGTCTATAGTTGTCTATGTCTAGTTATAGTCTATAGTCTAAGTTTAGGTCTAGCTAGCTATAGTCTGTCTATAGTCTAAGTCTATAGTCTTAGTTATAGTCTAGTCTATAGTCTAGTATATAGTCTAGTCTATAGTCTAGTCTATAGTATAGTCTATAGTCTAGTCGATAGTTTTAGTATAGTCTAGTACTATAGTCTAGTCTCTAGTCTCTAGTCTATAGTCTAGGTCTATGTTAGTCTATAGTAGTCTATAGTCTAGTCTATAGCTCTAGTCTATTAGTCATAGTCTATTAGTCTCCACGCTCTATGTTCTAGTCTATAGTATAGTCTATATTATAGTCTATAGTTTAGTCTATAGTCTAGTCTATAGTCTAGTCTATAGTCTAGTCTATAGTCTAGTCTATAGTCTAGTCTATAGTCTAGTCTATAGTCTAGTCTATAGTCTAGTCTATAGTTAGTCTATAGTCTAGTCTATAGTCTAGTCTATAGTCTAGTCTATAGTCTAGTCTATAGTCTAGTCTATAGTCTAGTCTATAGTCTAGTCTATAGTCTAGTCTATAGTCTAGTCTATAGTCTAGTCTATAGTCTAGTCTATAGTCTAGTCTATAGTCTAGTCTATAGTCTAGTCTATAGTCTAGTCTATAGTCTAGTCTATAGTCTAGTCTAGTCTATAGTCTAGTCTATAGTCTAGTCTATAGTCTAGTCTATAGTCTAGTCTATAGTCGTCTATAGTCTAGTCTAGTCTATAGTCTAGTCTATAGTCTAGTCTATAGTCTAGTCTATAGTCTAGTCTATAGTCTAGTCTATAGTCTAGTCTATAGTCTAGTCTATAGTCTAGTCTATAGTCTAGTCTATAGTCTAGTCTATAGTCTAGTCTATAGTCTAGTCTATAGTCTAGTCTATAGTCTAGTCTATAGTCTAGTCTATAGTCTAGTCTATAGTCTAGTCTATAGTCTAGTCTATAGTCTAGTCTATAGTCTAGTCTATAGTCTAGTCTATAGTCTAGTCTATAGTCTAGTCTATAGTCTAGTCTATAGTCTAGTCTATAGTCTAGTCTATAGTCTAGTCTATAGTCTAGTCTATAGTCTAGTCTATAGTCTAGTCTATAGTCTAGTCTATAGTCTAGTCTATAGTCTAGTCTATAGTCTAGTCTTAGTCTAGTCTATAGTCTAGTCTATAGTCTAGTCTATAGTCTAGTCTATAGTCTAGTCTATAGTCTAGTCTATAGTCTAGTCTATAGTATAGTCTATAGTCTAGTCTATAGTCTAGTCTATAGTCTAGTCTATAGTCTAGTCTATAGTCTAGTCTATATCTAGTCTATAGTCTAGTCTATAGTCTAGTCTATAGTCTAGTCTATAGTCTAGTCTATAGTCTAGTCTATAGTCTAGTCTATAGTCTAGTCTATAGTCTAGTCTATAGTCTAGTCTATAGTCTAGTCTATAGTCTAGTCTATAGTCTAGTCTATAGTCTAGTCTATAGTCTAGTCTATAGTCTAGTCTATAGTCTAGTCTAGTCTATAGTCTAGTCTAGTCTATAGTCTATAGTCTATAGTCTAGTCTATAGGTCTAGTCTATAGTCTAGTCTATAGTCTAGTCTATAGTCTAGTCTAGTCTAGTCTATAGTCTAGTCTATAGTCTAGTCTATAGTCTAGTCTATAGTCTAGTCTATAGTTTAGTCTTTAGTCTAGTCTATAGTCTAGTCTATAGTCTAGTCTATAGTCTAGTCTATAGTCTAGTCTATAGTCTAGTCTATAGTCTAGTCTATAGTCTAGTCTATAGCCTAGTCTATAGTCTAGTCTATAGTCTAGTCTATAGTCTAGTCTATAGTCTAGTCTATAGTCTAGTCTATAGTCTAGTCTATAGTCTAGTCTATAGTCTAGTCTATAGTCTAGTCTATAGTCTAGTCTATAGTCTAGTCTATAGTCTAGTCTATAGTCTAGTCTATAGTCTAGTCTATAGTCTAGTCTATAGTCTAGTCTATAGTCTAGTCTATAGTCTAGTCTATAGTCTAGTCTATAGTCTAGTCTATAGTCTAGTCTATAGTCTAGTCTATAGTCTAGTCTATAGTCTAGTCTATAGTCTAGTCTATAGTCTAGTCTATAGTCTAGTCTATAGTCTAGTCTATAGTTTAGTCTATAGTCTAGTCTATAGTCTAGTCTATAGTCTAGTCTATAGTCTAGTCTATTGTCTAGTCTATAGTCTAGTCTATTGTCGTCTATGTCTAGTCTATAGTCTAGTCTATAGTCTAGTCTATAGTCTAGTCTATAGTCTAGTCTATAGTCTAGTCTATAGTCTAGTCTATAGTCTAGTCTACAGTCTAATCTATAGTCTAGTCTATAGTCTAGTCTATAGTCTAGTCTATAGTCTAGTCTATAGTCTAGTCTATAGTCTAGTCTATTGTCCAGTCTATAGTCCAGTCTATAGTTCTGTCTGTAGTCCAGTCTACAGTTCAGTCTATAGTGTAGACCTCAAAGAAAAAGAAGATGATCTTAAATTCTTCAAACTTGGCTTCAGTGTATGATCATACCAATTGAACTCTTGGGAAATTAATTTTCAGATAAAACAGACTATTCAGTCTAAAATAAAAGTCGTGAGGTGTAAATGAAAATTTTATCAATTCTATAACATAATGTCCTTCATAATGAAACTGGATCACTATTAACTTTTTCAGATGACAAAGACTATTTCAGACTATGAAGAGATTATATAGTGATTATTTCTTTTGAGTGATCTTTTAAATGTTCAATCTAAAGCTAAGAAATAATCTATATGGAAAAGAGAGTCACGCTTCTTCGAGCGTGGTTAGTTTTAGACCATAAAGAACTCACTTGCAACATGTTTTACAGACAAGCAAATTTAATGCCACCCTAATTTTCTTTTTAAATTTATTATTTAAAATACGCACACAAAACATTCACACATTCATAAAATCTTTTTTTTTCATGAAGAAACGTTTTATGGTGTTACCGCAAAAAAACTGAATACACACTTTTTTTAAATTTGACTAAATTCTGGTATAAGTATTGTGATAATATATGTTTAAGTTTCTGTTTTATTCTAAGACGTAAAATTTATAAAAATAAATAAAAATTCTTCTTACCTGACCACCTTCACCTTCGACGCTGACCAAATCACGCCACTCCTCAATTGTTTGCGCCAAATCGATTGTGCACAGTGGTACCTTAACTTCACCAATTTGATCGTGCTTTGAGAAACGATCGAAATCAAAGATGGCAAATACTAAAGTCTTATTCATGGCATCAGCGTAGGGTAAACTCTTTTATAATAAAAAATAAATATTTAAGATTAGTATTTCTTTTTTTTAGCAAACTAAATTAACCACTTTGTGTGTGTAAGTGTGCTAATCACCCACCTTAAATGTAAATGTTTCATTAAAAACTGGACTTAGTGTCTTACGATGTACTTTTGTTTCGAATTTCTTTTTCTTATCTGGCAACAGATAAACTTTAACATAAGGATCTGAGGTACCACCCATATCTAAAGCTGGCAATTCTTCAGCTTGTATAACAGTTACGGCTAAACTGTTCGAATTGAAATCATATTCAAGCTATTTTCGAAATGACAAGAGAAAAATAGAAAGAAACAAATAAAGGAAACCAAAAATAATATGTATAAAGGAAGATCATTCAAATTTAATTGTGATCCGTAATTTGTATCGATTAGTAGAAAATTTCCAAGGTATAGCATTTTAGAAAGGAATAAAATGGAAAATTTCAAATTAGTTTATAAACTTTAAAAGTTAATTTTATGTTTTTAATGTTTAATATGTTTTAAATGTGTGAATATTATGTTTGAGTTGTATTTGTCTATATGGTTTATGTGTGATGGATCAAAGAATTTGTGAATGGAATATTAATGGTCGGAAGTTTTTGTGATTGAAACTTTTAAGTTTTGAAATTTTCTTCTATTAAGTTTTCTAATTGAGGATTTGTGTACTAAAGGAATACATTTTTCACTCAATAAATCGTTATATTAGCAAGTCAATACTGTCTGATTACCTATAGCATTACAAAGTAATAATAGCTGCTTCTTTTAATAAGAAAACTTCTTTAGCTATTAAGTATTAATACCGTCAACATTATGGGATAACTAATAACCGAACTGAGTCTTCTTCGAGTTCTTTTGATGAACTGAACCTGATTGATTAATGATCGACGCTAATGTTTTAAAGAAGTTCTATTCAAATATCAATCACAAACTGTTTTATTACGATGGAAAAATATGTCGAAACCGATCAGAAGAACTATTCATAAAAGTTTCTTTGGAGAGTCGCAGTGTAGGGAACCAGATTCTTGCGACAAAATGATCATTTATGATGTGAATATGAGCACGTATATATATGATCATTTTCATCGTATTATAAGATCGTTAATGACTCGAATGTGATATAAAATTTCAAAAATTTTCATGGGAAGAATTTACATTCTAACAATTTCTTTAAATCATTCTTTTAAAGTTCTGTATAAACCAGTAACGAAGGAGCATTAATACCCATAATTAATTCATTTAGTATTAGTATAAAACACATAAATTTATATTCAAGTCATATTATGATAATTATGTAAAATTTGTTTAACATTGAAAACCAATTGAATTAATGTGGTGGTGGCTGGTTGGTACATGAGATTATGTTGTATGTACGACTGACTGACTGACTGACTATAAAACAAGTATGAATATATTTTAAAAGTGTGCCATGGAATTATTGATATTTTCTTAAGAAAAAAAATTAGAAAAAACCAAACAGGAAAGAAAAACCTTGTGTAATACATTTCTTATTACCCTTTTTTACACATACATTGTTATTATGCTTCTGTACATGTGAACATATTTAACTGTAAGTATGTTTGTAGAAATTATTGTTCTTGTAATCAAGTGTCTTTTTGTTATAAATATTCAACACATAGTATTTATACAACATCATCATCATCATTATCATATAATAATTATCATATAGTAAGTTATATAGCAAGAGATTGTATGAAGAGTCTGTTTGTTAAATATTTTTTAACTATGAAATTTACCTTAAAATTCAGTCTGCCTAATTTTTGTTCACTTTCTTTATCCTCTTCGCCGCCTTCTTCAGCATTTTCGGTGAGTTCCTCCATATCAGGCTGAACCTATGACATACCAGAACCCAATAACTATTAAGATTTAATAGCGCATTTGATACTTACTTTTTCTTTGTACGCTGATCCTAAAATTGTACCGATTTCATATCAACACCCTTCTTACCCTTACCATCTTTAGTTCGTCGCTTCTTTAAGAATCTTCGTACACAGAAGAATATAATGCCGAAGACAACCAGGAATACCAATATAATAATGGCCACCACACCCCATGTGGGTAGACCAGTTTTATCAGCAATTGCAATGGTAACACGTTCACCAGCATTTTCGACTTTTTGTAACACTGAGGTCTTAGTAGTAGTCTCTTCTGTGTATATCAAAAAAGAAAAATTTGGATTTAGTATTTAAGTTTGTGTGTTTTTGGTTTCAACCTGGTTCTCCTTCTGTTGTGCCTAGTGGGGTTTGTGTCGTTTCTACTATGTTGGGTATAATTTTTTGATTTTCTCCAACTGGTTGATGTGCATTTTCTCGAAATATTGAATGCTGTGTTGCTTCTTCGGCTTTTTGATCTGCTGTTTCTAGTTCTGCAGTCGCTGATTCCACTTCAGGCGCTGGTTTTGGCTCATCGACTGTCACTTCATTTGGTGGCATGATGATCGCTTACTACTAGAAATTGAAAATAAATTATTAGTAATTTCATAAGATTTTAAAGTTTTTATATTATTGAAAGAATTTGGAGTAAATATATATGTATCAGCATTTATGGCTTAAAGATTCAACAAATTGTTAATTATCTCCAGAAACGGTGTATAAATTTTAATTTTTTGGATATATGTATATTCTTCCCGATATCCCGATATTCCTCGTTGCTTTGAAATAAACGAAACATCTAATTATTACGAAAATTTACTTTCCATATAAACACCTATAGGAAGTCACCAGAATTCTGGACTTGTATAACAATTACCGCAAAACTGTTCTGATCTATAGATTATGGTTTGGACTATAGTCTGGACTATAGACTGGACTATAGACTGGACTATAGACTAGAATGGACTATAGACTATAGTCTGGACTATAGACTGACTATAGACTGATTATAGACTGTGGACTATAGACTATAGTCTGGACTATAGACTATAGTCTGGACTATATATATATCTGGACTATAAACTATAGTCTGGACTGTAGACTATAGAGTGGACTATAGACTATAGTCTGGACTATAGACTATAATCTGGACTAAAGACTATAGTCTTGACTACAGCATGGACTTTAGACTATAGACTGGACTATAGACTATAGTCTGGACTATAGACTATAGTCTGGACTATAGACTATAGTCTGGACTATAGACTGTAGTCTGGACTATAGACTATAGTCTGGACTATAGACTATAGTCTGGACTATAGACTATAGTCTGGACTATAGACTATAGTCTGGACTATAGACTATAGTCTGGACTATAGACTATAGTCTGGACTATAGACTATAGTCTGGACTATAGACTGGACTATAACTATGTCTGGACTATAGACTATAGTCTGGACTATAGACTATAGTCTGGACTATAACTATAGTCTGGACTATAGACTATAGTCTGGACTATAAACTATAGTTGACTATAGACTATAGTCTGGACTATAGACTATAGTCTGACTATAGACTATAGTCTGACTAGACTATAGTCTGACTATAGACTATAGTCTCGACTATAGACTATAGTCTGGACTATAGACTATAGTCTGGACTATAGACTATAGTCTGACTATACTATAGTCCGGACTATAGACTATAGTCTGGACTATAGACTATAGTCGGACTATAGACTAGTCTGGACTATAGACTATAGTCTGGACTATAGACTATAGTCTGGACTATAGACTATAGTCTGGACTATAGACTATAGTCTGGACTATAGACTATAGTCTGGACTATAGACTATAGTCTGGACTATAGACTATAGTCTGGACTATAGACTATAGTCTGGACTATAGACTATAGTCTGGACTATAGACTATAGTCTGGACTATAGACTATAGTCTGGATTAGACTTAGTCTGGATTAAGACTTTTGTCTTGACTATAGACTGTAGTCTGGACTATAGACTATAGTCTGGACTATGGACTATAATCTGGACTATTGGCGATACCCTGATCCATAGACAATAGTCTGGACTATAAGTGATACCCTCGTCTATTGACGATGTTCTTGTCTGCAGGCTACATATTTAAAATGTCAAGGATAAGTTATTGTTGCCAATTTGATCCATTATTTCTTTATTTCTTAATTATATTTAGTGCTTTTTTTGTATCGGATTCAAACCCAAATAACACAATTGATTTAATTTATTAGATATATTTTCCTAATTCCTTCAATCCTTAAACTTTATATACAGCAGCTATAAACTTTAATTTATTTTAATGGAAAATTTTCATTAATTTAATGTTTTTGTTTTGCACATTATAAAATCATTTGGGCAAAATACTTGTCACTAACATTATACGAATAAAATAAGAGAAGAGAGTAGTGCTTTATAAATCAATTATTTTATTGATTGTTTAACATGATTTGATTGTCATATTTTTATAATAATTGTTATGTATGTACATTTAAAAATATATAAATAAATTTCTATATGTCTTCTAAGACCTTTCAGAAACAGATTTATAAATAATATTTTGCTGTTTTTCTTTAAAGAACATTTCCTAGGCAGAATCTGGTTTCTTAATAAATTATTATTTTTTTCTTAAATAAAAATCAAAGAACTAGTTTAAATGTAAATTTATTTTGTTTGATGGTTTGTGGCAAGTCATGAACGTTGTTTTGAGTGTATACACACATACGTGTGTATATAAATAGTTAGTGCGTATTTGTGGTTGCATATGTGTGTGTAGGTATAATTTATTTTATTTATAGTTTTACATACTAGTGCATTATTTTAATTGTTAGTTTTATTATGTTTAGCAGATGTTTAGAATTTACTGTTACACATTCTGTATCTTTTGTCTTCACTCCCCCTCATCTTCTCTATTACACTGTGTTGGTTTTAAACAAACACTTGAAGGTGGAAATTTATTTGCAAATTCAAAAATTTATATGTGTGTGGGTGTTTGAAGGCTGTTTTTAAAATAAAAATAAAGTTTTCCTGCTATTCTTCATTTACATTTTGCTAAAATAAATTTTATATAAAAGAATATTCGTTATAATTAAACTGAAATTATTTCTGTAATTTAGATTTGTATTCAAAAAATTTCATTACAGTTGCTTTTTCTGTATTTTAGCTTTTCCTTTTTAAATCGATTACGCTTCCTGTTTACTTTAACACTTTTGCCAAAAAACAAGGACATCATTTATACAAAAATAAAACTATTTATTATATAAAACAATAAAGTTTTCTGGAAATTTTCTCAAAATTTTGGCATTAGATTTTATATTTTTTCCTTGACTAACATCCACTACTTTATTTTTGCTAAAAAAAGAAGTTTATTTGTGAAATGAAGTGGAATTTTGTAAAATTCTGATAATACAAGGAAATTTATGAACGATTTTTCCAGTACGTGCTGTGTATTACAACACTTATGTACTTATGTAAAACAATAATTTTTGTAATCTCTCATTTTTGTACTTATTAAGTTACACACTATACATAAGTATGAGTTATATTTTTTATATTTTGAAACACACACACACATAAAAAAATCTATTGTCCTTGTATTACAACAACTATATAATATTTATTTTCGGTTTATTTTTGTAGTTTGTGTATTCATTATTATTAAATATTAAATAACAATAATAAATTTGTTTACAAAATATTTTTACTACTGAGCGTATGATTTATGTAATAATAGAAATATATTACTAATACGCTCTAGTAATTTGCTGTTTATTTTATCTTCTTAATTAGTTGTTAATGATAAGATATACAGTTTGATAAGTCTTTTGTTGTTAATTTTTAATAAATACTTTTATTACAAATGATTAGTGTAATTTTTTAGTTTCATTGTATAAATACACTTGTCACATCAAAGGAGTTTCATCAATCACATTGGATTTTGTTACAAATTCGTTCACAATGAGAAAAAGTTTTTCTGGGTTATGGATATTTGTAATTTTGTTCAGTATTAGTATTTTGTTAGCAATGATTGAGTATAAAAAATTAAGGTTGTGTGTCACTATAGTCTGATGTCTGCACTGATACTATAGATTATAGTCTGGAATAGAGACTAAGTTCTGCCCTATAGCCTGGACTGTAGACTATTGTCTGTACTTTGGGTACAGTCTGATGTCTGCACTATAGTCTGGACTATAGATAATAGTCTGGAATATGGACTAAGGTCTGCCCTATAGCCTGGACTGTGACTATAGTCTGGAGTATAGATTATAGTCTGGAATATAGACTATTGTCTGGACTATAGACTATAGTCTTGACTGTAGAATATAGTCTGGAATATAGTCTATACTCTGTATTAGTCTAGTCTGGACTATAGACTATAGTTTGGACCGTAGACTATAGTCTGGACTATAAGCTATAGTATGGACTATATCTATAGTCTTGACTATTGGGTATAGTCTTAAGTTTGCACTATAGTCTTCATTATAGACTATAGTCTGCATTTTAGACTATATTTTAGACTATATGCTATAGTCTGAACTATAGTTTAAAGCCTTCAGTTTGAACTACAGAGTATATTCTGCACTATGGTCTGGACTGCACTATATACTATAGGCTGCACTATAGACTATAGTTTAGACTATATTATAGTCTGCGCTATTAACTATAGTCAGCACTATATCTATAGTCTGCAATGTAACTATAGTCTGAACTATACACTATAGTCTGGACTATAGGAAACAGTCTGAACTAAACACAATAGTCTCGTTAATGACAATAATGTGGACTTCAGATTATAATCTGTCTATAGATTACAACTATTTGTCCTTACTAGACTTTTTTTCCTGTTAAAAGCATAAAAACTAAACAGTTCCTATTCCAACAAATAGTAAACTTTCATTAACTCTAAGAGTTTTTATACCTATTACTTAAAAATTTGTTCTTAAAATATAATACTTCCATTAAACTCATCTTTGTTTCCAAAGTGCTGACTAATATAATTACAACAGTAATTTAAAAAAATAAAATCAATACAATCTTGCTACATGAAAGTTTAATAAATTGTCTTGTTTCCAAAACATTTGCACCAAAGACGAAGTATCTACTATACGTATGAGTATAATTATTTGATATACAAAACACAACGTATACGTATGTATTCCCTTACGTATACACATAACATGATCAAATTTCTCTGTAAAATTTAAGGTTTTATAAATGTTTAAAAATAATCTACAGCAGACTCATGAGTTTGTTCAAAAGTGTGTTTGTTAAAAAATATATATTAACCTTAAGGAAAAAAAAAACTAGGAAAAGATTAATCTTTTTCACCTTATCTTTACATAACCTCAATTTTGTTTAGTAAACTAACTAACATTTTTCAGCAATATTTCTTAAAGCTTTTTTTTTATTATTTCATCTTTTGGTGCTTAACTAAAACATCTGTTTCTCAAACGCCTACAAGATTTTTAGAGTGTATTTTATACAAACAAAACTGTTGATATCCTGCAGCCATGATTCATTCATTAAGCTTTTAACTTTTTTAATAAT